AAAAGAAGGTGGCTCACATGGGGGCTCCTGGAAGTAACAAAATTACTTGAAGGAGACCCTGTCTTTCCTTTCGATTAATGATGGTTGTGAATCTCTCGGCATATAGGATAGGAAGGGGATAACAGATCATCTTGGCGAAGACCCCTGGAAAGATGTAGATAGCCGTAGGCAGATCTATTGACAAGAAACGAGTATGTCACAGTAGAAACTATGGTCATCACCAGGTTGATCCAATTTTGAGAAAAATTGAGCTTGCCCAATACCAATGTCCATGAGATTTAAAATCAATAGAAATATCTCTTGAGATTGTCCACCGTAAATCATTTTGGTCATTCTATAAAAAATCTTTGTTAAATTAAATAAACCACCAGTTCAAGTGGAAGGGTTTGTTTGAAGAATACACCCTCAATTTAACAGAGATTTTTCATGGAATGACTAAAATGATTAACAATTAACAATCACAAAGACCACTTCTATCGATTTTAGATTTCAAGCAAAGTGATGAGTTATGCAATCTCATGAGACCATTTTGGCTAAAAAGCTAAAAGTTATTGATATTGTTGTTAGAGATATATTGGTGTCTAAACAGATCGTATTAGTGTCTAAAAGTACATCGATCATCCTCTTGTGTTAGTTTTGGCTCTAGATTATGTCTTGGTGAGAACAATCATTTAAGCAAGTTTGGCTGTCAAGGTATTCACAACTACTTGTCCAATGAATGGTTATAGAGCAGAGAATAGTATAGTTCCACATCTTATTCTCCGTTTAGATGCATATGGATGGTGAAGAGCTCAAGACCTCGACCTTGAGCTATGAATGGCTTCGCTTCAACATTCTCCCTCCCATTGAGGCAATTCTAGTAGTTCTTGTGAGGTAAGTGTAAGAATATGAACATAAGATTATGCGATCTAGCATTAGCTATTTAAGACCAATTGATATAAGAAAGCCTTATGGGAAGATGTATACTAGTTCTTGTCAATAAAGGATTCTGTTGCAATAATGAACTGATATGGATTGGGAAAACATAAGTTGTTTTCCATAAAGATTATAGTAGGGAGTCCTTATTCTATTATGAGAAGGATATGTGCATGTATATATATACAACAACCTCTTATCTCACAGGAACATGTTTTTTTGGAACTAAGCATTATTCTTAGTTTGAGCAATAAGCATCTTGACATAGAGAAGAAAAGCTGTTGTGCATTCAAGTTGATCGTGAATAACCATGGCTGCATCCAATGGAAGTTCTTTAGGTTAGTATGCTTCAGCCTTATATGGATTGGTGTTTTGTATTTTGTTTGGTTATGATTCGAGTAATTGAATCTTGTTTGTGGTTTAGAGTTAACATGTGGTATCAGAGCCATAAATTCATGTTCTTAAATTCAATCAACAAAATCGATAGGATCCTAATTCAAAAAAAAAAAAAAAATCATCTTTATTGCCTTCAGGTTTTGAAACTGGTTCTAGACTTAAAAGTGGGTTTAAGAAAAAATGGTGTGTTTTAATAAAATATGATTGTTTGATTTTTGACCGTTAGAACTTGAAACCTATCTAATTTTGGGGTTTTTCTCGGATTTGGAATACAACACTTTACCCTTTTGATTTCGAGTTTTGTTGATCTGGGTTGTTCAAGTTGCTGTTTAGTCTTCAATATTTATTATAAATGCTTCCGCTGCTAGGTATTGATACTCATTGAATGAAAGGGTATGTCTTTTGAACATTGGATGAAATTTGGATTTTGATATATCTTGTCTCGAATCTATTCCTTTCTTCAACATGATTTGAATAACAAGCATCACGATTACGCTTATTTCTGCCTTTTAATCCCATGATTATGCATTTTCTCTAATTGTTTGTGGAAGAAAGTTTAGCTTGGACCTTCTGTAGACATCACTCGTTTTATGCAGAAAAACTTTGATGAAGAATTGTTTGTTTGAGAAAAATCATTTATAATGTTGAGATGGTTGTCCATGATTACATAACAGTTGATTCCTAATGTTCTGAAAACCCTTTTATTCTATATGTGCTTATCAACGTTTCGTTGTTAAGATTATGTATATGGATAATAGTTTTGATGATATGATGTGCAATAGACTGAGAGAAGAAATCTAGAACCCTAAAAGTTCTTTGGTGATTTCATTGTGTTCTTCAGTGTTTGCAATATCAATGAAGACCCTCACTTTGGCTAACATTCTGATCCTTACTGGTGGGGTTAATTACAAGAAGTGGAGAAGAGACATTAGTTTGCTATTAACTTTAAATGAGTTTGATATAGCAATTGACAATCTTAAGCTTGTCATCAATGATCAGAGCACCAGAGTTAAAAAAACAGATTTTGAGAAAAGGACAAAAGCCAATAAAGTGACACTGTCTATCCTAGAGAGTGGTATGACTAATACAATTCGATGAGGAATTAAGAAACATGATTTGGATGTTGACTACTTGAAAGCAACTGAAAAGAAATTTAAGGAATTTAAGAAAGCTGAAGTGAGTCAATACATGTCTCTATTGACTACATACAAGATTAAGGGTACTGGTTCTATAAGGGACCACATTATGAAGATGATCGATGATGCTGAAAAACTCAATTCAATGGATGCAAATATTGGTGAAAAACAGCTGGTATTCATGATTCTCCAAGTACTTCCCAACAAATATAGCTAGTTAAAAGTTTCATACAACACTCAAGACAAAAGCTATGACATTGATAAGTTGATTGCACAATGTGTACAAGAAGAAACTCATCAAAAACAAGAGAAAGGCAAAGAAATTGAGGATGTCAATTTTGTGCAAACTGGAAAGTAGAAGATGCTGTTCAACAATGGAGGCTCTTCTGGTTTTGGTAAGAATTCTAAATCATTTAAGAATTCTAATAGGTTCAGTACTTCTGCTAAAGTAATTGACTCCCCTAGAAAATCTACCAAGTTTAAAAAACCAAAAGATGTGTCTAAACTTAAATGTTTTTGGTGCAAAACTAAGGGCCATTTAAAAGTGAACTGTGAAATCCTTAACGATTGGATAAAAAGCAAAGAAAAGGAATAGGTACATGTTTTTGTTGAGTCAAATTTGTGCGAGGTACTTGTTGATTCTTGGTGGTTTGATATTGGATGCTCAGTGCATTTAACCAACTCTTTAAACGGTTTTAAAAAACAAAACGAAATTGAAAATACTTTATACAATGTCTATGTGGGGGAAATGACTAAAGTTGTAGTACACTCAATAGGGGTTGTGAACTTAAGACTTACTTCTGGTTTTGTTTTACAATTAAATGATGTGCTCTATGTGCCAAAGATGAGAAGAAACTTAATTTCTGCTTCCAAAATTGTAAAAGATGGCTTTTCCTTTCTTGCTGATGATGAATGCTTAAAAATCTTTAAAAAGAATTGTCTAGATTCAGTTTTGGGAATTGCTTTTCTATCAGATAACTTGTGGAGTCTAGAATGCTTAGTGGAATCAAATAATCACTCAGTATTGAATGTTGGTTGCAAAAGGATGCTAGAAAATGACACTTCCTACATATTCTGGCATAAAGGGCTAGGGCATATATCTAAAGAAAGAGTAATTAAACTTTCAAATGCTAAATTAATTCCAAGATTAGATTTCACTACTGCAAATGAGTGTGTATATTGTTTAAAAGGCAAAATGACTAATTTTAGAAAAATTGATGTTAAGACAAGGATTAATAGAAATCATACACACTGATATTTGTGGTCCCTTTCCAGGTAAAACAATTTGTGAGAATAGGTATTTTGTCAATTTCATTGATGACTTTTCTAGGCTTGGATACACTTTTCTCATTGGTGAGAAATCAAATGCACTTAATTGTTTTATTATTTATAGAACTAAAGTTGAAAAATAGTTAGGGACGGTTATTAAAATTGTTAGATCAGACAGGGGAGAAGAATATTTTGGCAGGTACACAGAATCTCGGCAGTAAAAGGGTCCATTTGCTTTCTATCTTGAGAAGAATGGCATTGTGGGACAATACACCACACTTGGAACAACTTAACAGAATGGTGTGTCAAAAAGAAGAAATAGGACTCTCATTGCCATGGTTAGGAGTATGATGACTAAATCTAGACTGCCAATTTTCTTATGGGGAGAAGCTTTGAAAACAGCAAATTATATATTGAACCAAGTTCCCAATAAGGTAGTCTCAACAACACCTTTTGAGTTGTCGCATGGGAGAGTTCCAAGTTTTGCCCACTTTCATGTTTGGGGATGTAAGGCGAAGGGCTAGATTTTACAGTCCTAATGAAAAAAAGTTAGATCTCATAACACAATCATGTTACTTTGTTGGCTACTCTGAGAAGTCAAAGGGTTTCAGGTTCTATATTCCTCAAAACCATACTTGGATCCAAGGAACACATAATGCATCCTTTCTAGAAGATTAAGATATTTCACATTTATCAAGGAAAAAAAATTGTATTTGAAGAGATGCATCAGATTCATGACAACCATGTAGTAATGGATTACACTCAGGTTCCATTATTTCCTCATCAATTGTCACTTGCAATTGAAGATTTAAGTGAAGAATTAGGGCTCATGTTGATAACATTATAGAGGTTGACCAATTAACACAGTCCACAACATCAATTCCACCTCCAATTGAACTAAGAAATTCTACTGCAATCAGTGATTATGTGTACTTACAAGAAAGTAAGTTTGATATAGGTGACATTGATGACCCTCTTACATACAATCAAGCAATTGAAAGTCCTCAATCAGTTCTATAGCACAATGCTATGCAAGATGAGTTAGATACAATGTTCAAGAATCAAGTTTGGACATTGGTGGGTGTATAAAACAAAAAATGATGCTAATGGTAGAATTGAGGGATATAAAGCAAGGTTGGTTGCTAAGGGGTTTACTCAGAGAGAGGGAATCCATTATAATGATACTTTCTCTCTAGTTTCCTCTAAAGATTCCATGAGAGTTATCATGTCTTAATAGAGACCTACAAGAGGATATATATATATATATATATATATGAAGCAACCTATTGGATTTGTTGAAAGGGGGAAGGAAAATATGGTATGCAATCTCAAAAAGTCAATATATAGCTTAAAATAGGCATCAGGGCAATGGTATTTGAAATTTGATCAAATTGTCTATGCACAAGGTTTTGTAGAGAATAAGCTGGATGATTGCATATATATTAAGTTCTCAGGATCCAAATTCATTTTCCCAGTGCTTTATGTTGATGATATTCTTCTTGCTAGTTCATGTCCACAATTGCTTCAAAGTGTGAGGTTTAATATGGAAAGCTGCAACAATGGTCAAGTTCAGTCAATAAAAGAGATAAGTTCTCGGAAAATCAGTGTCTAAAAACTGATTTGGAAATGAAGAAAATGCAGTCTAAACCTTATGCTTTATTGGTTGGAAGTCTCATGTATGCAAATAAACAAGAGGTTATATCTTCATGCTCAATGGAAGGGCAATTTCATAGAAAAGTACAAGACAAACTATCATAGCTACATCTATTACGGAGGCTGAATTTGTAGCTTGTTTTGAAGGCATGAAACAAGCAGCTTGGTTGAAGAATTTCTTGATAGAATTAAAGATTGTGAATTCGATTCAGAAGCCTGTTAAGATGTTTTGTGATAACAACTCGGCTGTATTCTTTGCCAAGAATAATAGGCGTACTTCAGCTTCAAGGTTGATGGATGTAAAATTTCTTAAAGTCAGAGAATAGGTAAAGAAATGAGTTATTAAAGTGCAGCACATAAGCACTGCTATGATGCTTACTAACCTCTTGACTAAGGCACTACCTTGTAGAGAATTTGAAAAACATGTTCTTGGATGGGAGTGCTAGAGGGTTTTGATTGGTGGGAGTAATCAAGTGTGTTTCAAGAGCTTGGGATTGCAGCTATATGTGATTTGGAACAATGAGTGCAATTCTGACAAGTTGAGGTTAATTTATGCATAGCTAGTTTGCTAGTTTGATTTTCTGTTTTTAATAAATGTCTTTGTCTCGAGACTCAATGGTTTAGTTTTGAAGTATTGTAGTTCTGATGATGAACTAAGTTAGAAGTTAGATTCATTTGACACTTTGGAAAAACAGTTTGTCTGTTTTAAAGTTTATAGTTAATGAATTTTATTTCGTCATTAATATGTTGCTTTTCATTGAAGATTAATATGTGTTATGATCTTTTGAAAAGTGGGAGAATAATCTTAACTGTTTATATCAGCCTAAGCCATGAGTCATATTTGCATATTGGATATATGTGAACTTTGATTCAATACTGCATTTTGGTTGTAGTATGAGATTCTTGGTTTTTGTATTTTGAAATGTAATGGGAAGTTAGTCATGATGGTAAATCTTGAATAAGGCTATGTGATCACTTCTTATAATTGGTGAAAGCTATGCTTGATCTTTGTCTCAAGTTCATGTGGGAGAATGTAAGAATATGAACATAAGATTATGTGATCTGGCATTAGCTATTTGAGACCAATTGGTATAAGAAAGCCTTAATAGAGGATTATGTTGCAGTAATGAACTATATGGATTGGGAAAACATAAGCTGTTTTCCATAAGGATTCTAATATGGAGTCATTATTCTATTATGAGAAGGATATGTGTATGTATATATATACAACAACCTCTCCTCTCACAGGAACATGCTCTTTTGGAACTAAGCCCTATTCTTAGTTTGAGCAATAAGCATCCTGATAGAGAGAAGAATAGCCACTGTGCATTCAGGTTGATTGTGAATAACCATGGCTGCATCCAATGGAAGTTCTCCAAGTTAGTAGGCTTCAGCCTTATATGGATTGGTGTTCTGTATTTTATTTGGTTGTGATTCGAGTAACTGAATCTTATTTGTGGTTTAGAGTTAACTGTAAGTACACAAATTTTTTTTTCATTTTAATTTTCTCATTAATTGAGGACACTTGTTTTTGTGGCTTTTGTGTCCCTGTGTTTTAGTTGCTTATTTTCTTTTGTTTTCTTATTTTGTAGTGATTTGAGGGGAGTGGATGGACATGTGAATGGATCGTTTGAGGATGACGAAAGAACATATGGAGATTTTACAAGCCATACATTTGATGGTGGACTTTTTAGATTTGTAATCTCAATCCTCAGTTAATTGCATAAAGTGTCATAAACAAATTGATGTTTAACGCAAAAGATTTTGTGATTGATGATTGGGTTAGAACAAAATTAACCGTAAAACACTAATTTTGTTTTCGATGACGAACTTTCGGATTAATTTTAAGGAAAACTAATGAAAAGGGCTTGAAAACTTTGAGTTTTAATGATAAGGACAAAATAAAGGGTAAAGTGAATAGTACCAGGATTGACTTTTTAGTGTAAAAATGTGGTTTTTCGTTAAAGTGAACAGTATCGGGTGCTTTTCGTTAAAGTTCCCTTAATTTTATGAAGAAAATTTTGTCGAAGTTGGTGATGAAGTACTTTGTATAAAGTATGAAATAATTTCAATTACAAGGGAAAAGATATTCAAGGTAAATACAACGCAACTTTTGCAGTGTGATTGAGGAGACATGCTAGAGGAATTAGGTGCTCTAGTTTGATGTACGAGGAGATTCATCTGAACAAAATGGAACCATTGTTGTACTTCTTGCAACTCGTTCCTTTACTAAATTATATTAATTACTAATGTTAAACTTTTTATAAAGAGATTACTTATTAATTTCTTGTAATTGTAGTAGAGAGCCCGGCGTGAAAATGTCAAACAATGAAGATGAAATGTCAGATGAAGATGAAATCAGGTTTGAGAGTATTACTCGAGCTACTGTTGTCCATGCGAGTCGCCAAACCAACCAGGCTGCCCATCGTCTTGCACGTTATGCCCTCTCCTCCCTGCGAGTGTTCTTGGTTCGAGGAACCCCCAGATATTCTTCTTGTTATTTCGTTATCTGACAGTAGTGTTTAAGGGTGATGGTGTTCTTTCCCAGCCTCTATGTAATTGCTACTGTTTTAAACCTTCTTATTATTATGAATACATGCCGCTGCTTTAAAAAAACTAGGGTCCGCTTTATGAATAATTTTATAGATAATTTTACTTTTATATATATTCTTGTGGTTGATCTGTTTAGAAACATTCCTAAAATTTCTTCTGAGAATAATTGCTTTGATTTGTTTCTCCTGTAGTAGTAAGAGCATGCATGATTTGTTATTTCAATGTTTCTGATTAATCGAATTGAGGATCGTCAGCTTTTGGTGCCTGCTTGTCCTATGTTTTAGTTAGTTAATTTCTTTTGTTTTATTATTTTGTAGTGATTTTTTGGAGAGAGGATGATCCATGGATGGATGGTCCGAGGATCACCAAAGAACGTAGCTACACGGAGTTATACATTCTTATTTTGTAGTGATTTTGTGAGTTATAGAACTTTTTTTTTTATACAAACGATAGGATAATCTACATTAGACTTTTGAAGGGGAAGGGGGGGGGGGGGGGGGGGGGGGGGTGGGCAGGGGAGATTTGAACATGTATTGGTACCTTGAGTGTAATAACAAATACTCTTAACCAAGGAAGAAAATATCGGTGATATCGGAAATATCGGTAGTCCGAAAACACGGAAATATCGATGGAAATATCGGTAAAATATCGATATCGATAAAAATTACATGGAAACCACGGAAATTGTAAGAAAAACTTGGAAATTTTTATTGAAACTTTGCAGGATGTTTATTTAGTCAATTATCTATTAGTTTATCACAAAAAATTGGAAGGAAATGCATTGCATGATGGATTTAACTGATTTAAGTTGATTATATAGCAAGCTGGCAAACATTGTAAGTGTAGAAAATATATAGTAATTAATAAAATAAGTTTAAACACACCATAATCATTTATATATAATGAATTAGTACAATATTTTACACTTTATACATTGTATGGTAAGATACATGAGTGACTTAGCATCACATAGAATGAACGTGGTGAGTAGTTCAAAAGTAGATACTTGAAAAGAAATTAATCAAATTTTAGTATGATGTAATTATTTGGACTTGATTTAAAATAGAAATTAATCATATATAATATATGTAACTGAAAAAAAAATAATCAAATTTTAATATGATGTAATTATTTGGATTTGATTTAAAATAGAAATTTATCATATATAATATATGTAACTGAAAAAAAAAAAAATCAAATTTTAATATGATGTAATTATTTGGACTTGATTTAAAATAGAAATTTATCATATAGAATATATGTAACTGAAAAAAAAAATTAATCAAATTTTAATATGATGTAATTATTTGGACTTGATTTCTCTTTATACATATATTCTTCTTCCTATTTTCTAGTATTTCAGTTTAGTAAGTAATTTTAAATTTCGAAGACGAAATTCTTTTAAGAGGGGTAGATTGTTACACCCACCCCCAATTTAAATTGTATTTTCATTTATCTTACTTTTAAAATTATTTTTTGATCTTAATAGGTGTGCCCAGGGCCCACCTTGCTTTTGTGTCACCGTCTCTCTTTTCTCTCAGATCTCTCTTTTCCCTCACTCTCTCATCTCTACCGTGCTCTCTCTCTCTGCACTCTCTGCACTTTCTCCTTCTCCCCGTGAACCAACCCACACGCCACACCCTCACTTTCACACCACTTAAACGGCGACACCCCCTCATCGCTCTCTGCACTCTCTCCTTCTCCCCGTGAACAACCCTCATTCTCCCTCTTCGCCCTCTCTGCACTCTCTGCACTCTCTGCACTCTCTGCACTCTCTGCTTCTCCCCGTGAACAACCCACACCCTCACTTCCACACCACATCAACGGCGACACCACCTCATCGCCATCTCCGTCTCTACGTCTCTGCCTCGGTCTCTCCGTCTCCGTCTCTCCCTCAGTCTCTCCGTCTTCGTCTCTGCCTCGGTCTCTCCGTCTCCGTCTCTCCGTCTCCGTCTCTCCCTCGGTCTCTCCGTCTCCGTCTCTGCCTCGGTCTCTCCGTCTCCGTCTCTGCCTCGGTCTCTCCGTCTCCGTCTCTCCCTCGGTCTCTCCGTCTTCGTCTCTCCCTCGGTCTCTCCGTCTTCGTCTCTCCCGCGATCTGGATCCTTCTTCTTCTATCTGGTTTCTGGATCCTTCTTCTTCGATCGGGTTTCTGGATCCATCTTCTTCGATCTCTCTTCTCCCAAACACACACACACAAAGATCGCCGTTGATCGTGGCTCAGGCGAAGTCAGAGGTGCGCCGCGGAGCAAGGATCGTTCGTATTCCGCTTCGTCAGGTGAGATTCCATGAAACCCTAAACCCTAATCTCTCCGACTTCACCTTGCCTTGAATCGTTTGTATATTTGTGAAATCTGATGTATATTTGTGAAATTAATGTTAAGATTTGTGTTTTTGCAAGGTTTTTGGGACGAAACCGGCCCGGGAATCGCCCCACGGTCTCCGGCGTTCTTCTCCGACGTCGCCTCGGATTCCGATTCCACCGTCCATGGATATTTCGCCGATAATTTCCAAATATCGCGATATTATCGATATTATCGATAATATCGCGATATTTGGCCGAAAACCCCACGGAAACCAGTTAAAATATCGCCGACCGGAAAAATCGATATTATCGGCGAAATATCGCCGATAATATCGATATTTAAATCTGTGCTCTTAACCAACTGAATTATAAACCTTTTACTTATGCAAGGTATACATCCGATAGGTGCCTTTTTTATTTTTAATCTCATTTCTTAGTTGATTGCATAAAGTGTTAAAAAAAAAAACTAACAATAATTAATGGGGTCATATATAGGAGTCTTTCAGTGTGAATGTCATCTTGTTTTCATTTTCAAATAAAAGTTTTGAGATTGATGATTGGGTTAAAACAAAATTAACCAGCACTAAATTATCCAAAATCATTGTGAGCGCAATAATTTCACTATATATCTTACATTTTAACATGAACATTCTAGGCTAGAGGTGACAAGTACCCATTGGATTGTTAATGAATATTCATTAAGACCCATTTAATATGATTTCACCTTACATCATCATCATCATTACCGATCTCACCTCTATATTATATCAAATTAAACGGGCCTTAATAGACCCATTAACAACCCAATGAGTTGATTGCCACCTCTATAACTATGAATTGTCCAAATCATGAAATTTCTGATGTAATAGGTACTAACTAATATGACAGAGATAATGTTAAGTCACTTGGACTACTATAATTCCAAAAAGCTTTACTCAAATTAATTGATCATTAAGGGGGAATGCATATACGTGTCACATTAATCGTACTAGTATTTCTTGTTGGCATTTATTAAGTATGATCATGGACGTCTCTGAAACACAACCAACCAATATGTATATAGTCTAAGTCCTGATAACGATCTTAACATAGTACAGACATATCAAATTAGCTGCGCTCGCTTTCATTTGACTATCAATCTTCTGAGTTGTCCTATAAAACCTTAATTCTAACTTGGCTTATTCATGGAGTACTCGTGCATGCATGTTGTTGCTCTTAACAACCTCAATTATTTCAAAATCTTAAGACAAAAAGGGACCACGTTATATGCCTATTTGCTGGCCAAGGCATGCACTATTCTTGTTGAAGGGAAACTTTCATGGTTCTTGAAATATGGTCATGTGTCGCTATTATTTCATTCAAATTATAACACGTATATTTATTGTGATTGATAACCATTGAAGTGAGGCAACCTTTCATCTTTGTTATAGTGCGATGATCATGCACCGCAGAACTTGTATTCTTGATACCTATATAAATTTCTCGTTTTTGTTATTGGTAGGTTAAATTAGTTCTCTTTTGCAATTCGATATTGTATATACTAGTCATACAAGGGTATAGCTTTCTAAGAAAGATATCAAACTTGGGCATTTGAAGGGGTTTGGGAAGTGACCACATTATTGGTCCTATGTTTCTTCTTTCATTTAATCTCATTTCTCAGTTGATTGCATAAAGTGTTAAAAAAAAAAAAACTAACAATAATTAATGGGGTCATATATAGGAGTCTTTCAGTGTGAATGTCATCTTGTTTTCATTTTCAGATAAAAGTTTGAGATTGATGATTGGATTAAAACAAAATTAACCAGCACTAAATTATCCAAAATCATTGTGAGCGCAATAATTTCACTATATATCTTACATTTTAACATGAACATTCTAGGCTAGAGGTGACAAGTACTCATTGGATTGTTAATGAATATTCATTAAGACCCATTTAATATGATTTCACCTTACATCATCATCATCATTACCGATCTCACCTCTATATTATATCAAATTAAACGGGTCTTAATAGACCCATTAACAATCCAATGAGTTGATTGCCACCTCTATAACTATGAATTGTCCAAAATCATGAAATTTCTGATGTAATAGGTACTAACTAATAATGTTAAGTCACTTGGACTACTAATTCCAAAAAGCTTTACTCAAATTAATTGATCATTAAGGGGGAATGCATATACGTGTCACATTAATCGTACTAGTATTTCTTGTTGGCATTTGTTAAGTATGATCATGGACGTCTCTGAAACACAACCAACCAATATGTATATAGTCTAAGTCCTGATAACGATCTTAAGATATTACAGACATATCAAATTAGCTGCTCTCGCTTTCATTTGACTATCAATCTTCTGAGTTGTCCTATAAAACCTTAATTCTAACTTGGCTTATTCATGGAGTACTCGTGCATGCATGTTGTTACTCTTAACAACCTCAATTATTTCAAAATCTCAAGACAAAAAGGGACCACGTTATATGCCTATTTGATGGCCAAGGCATGCACTATTCTTGTTGAAGGGAAACTTTCATGGTTCTTGAAATGTGGTCATGTGTCGCTATTATTTCATTCAAATTATAACACGTATATTTATTGTGATTGATAACCATTGAAGCGAGGCAACCTTTCATCTTTGTTATAGTGCGATGATCATGCACCACACAACTTGTATTCTTGATACCTATATAAATTTCTCGTTTTTGTTCTTGGTAGGTTAAATTAGTTCTCTTTTGCAATTCGATATTGTATATACTAGTCATACAAGGGTATAGCTTTCTAAGAAAGATATCAAACTTGGGCATTTGAAGGGGTTTGGGAAGTGACCACATTATTGGTCCTATGTTTCTTCTTTCATGTAAGCTAATGCCTTTTTTTTATCGACCCTATTTCGGTCTCACCCTCATTTGGTCTTAGGTTTCTTCTTTAGTGTAAGTAAGCTTTCATAGGGTTCGCTTTCCTTTTATCCATATCTTGGTGTTTGCACACCCTCTAGGAAAGTTGAAAAGTGTGAGGTGCTCTCTGGTCTCAAGTGTTCTTGTCTCTAGGTGGTTGCTTCACATTCTTTGAATCCACAACCCATAAGTTTGTCTCATATGTTGCTAAGAATGTGAGTTATAAACAATTTTTAATCTGATAGTATTTCTCTTTCGATGTTGAAAC